TTCTTTTATACAACTGGTAACACAATCATACAAGCATGTTACCATAAACACAACAATAGTTCCTTGTGCTATGACATTGTGGTAACTATGACATCATTAGGCTATAGGAATTCTTTTTTTTAACTTTGATACAATCTTTATTACTTGTAAAATTAAATATTAGTAAACTTTGGGACTAAGTGCAAGTTTTAAAACTTTAGCAAGCTCTTGAAGGTTTCAGAAAAGACAGGAGAAAAGTCTAGATATGACAATAAAAGCATAGTCCATAAAATAAAATACCAGTAAATTAAATTCCATGTGAAAAGAAAGCATTTCTCTGAAAAAGAACAAAGGGATAAGCTAGGAGAAAACATTTAAAATTTATATAATAAAAACAGGCATGCATTATCAATATATAAGCAAATCACAAGGTGATTCTAAAGTTTTTGTGCAGACACAAAGAACCCTGAACAACTAACTTTTATTAAAGACAAAGAGCAAAGTCAATGGAATGGCATTGCTCAATTTCAAGAATTAGAATTCTGTTCTGATAATCAAGACAGTGAGAATTCTTCAACAATATTAAAGTCTTATGCATATGCCTTCATCATTGACCAAAATGTTATCATGTGGAAAATGACTGTTTATTAATGAAGTACTCTGCATTTTTTTGTACTAACTCTTCAAATCTGGTATGGATTTGTGTGTTTGTGTTTATGTGTGTGTGTGTATTGGTTTGAACTCAGGATCTTACACTCTTGTTTGGCTTTTTTCATTCAAGTATAGTGCGCTACCACTTGAGTCACACTTCTACTTATGGCTTTTTGCTGGCTAATTGGAAATAAGAGACTCTCAGATTTGTCTGCCTGGTCTGGCTTTAAACCTTGATCCTCAGCCTCCTGAGTAACTAGAATTATATGCATTAGCCACTGGCACCCAGTGACATGTACCTCCAAATGGCCAGAATGGGCTGGCCTGTACAACCTGTGTACTTCTGGCACCTCAATATTGTGAGGAAGAGGTTCATCAGCATCTCCACTCCCATTTAGGTCCCTGTATTCTCTGCCTTATTCTTTCACTGCAGGTACAGTGAAACTGGGTATTAAATTGAAGTCTACTTTTGGTGGACTTGATTCAGCTTTCCTGTTTTTAACCCGTTAAAACAGAATACATTCATTTACTCTAAAGTGGATCAAGTAAGATGTTGACTGGTACAGTCCAGGTGCATAATTCAACTTCCTTGTCTGCTTGAAATTTCTCATAGTAAACTATTAGGGAAAGGAACTCTACTTGCTTTTTCTAACAACCACATTTCCTCTTTTTCTCTTCTGGATTTTTAGTCCTCTTCCTCTACCTACAACCTCAGTAGAAAGATACTGTAAGCATAGAGGAACAGGACAAGGGCAACAAAGGGGACAGGAATGAGTCAGTTCCTTCTGCTACTCTTTTTCCTCAGCCCTGCCATTCTTTCTAAAAAAAAATCAAGCCAAGAAAGCCAAGAGTCAGAAAGGAAAGCAGAAAATTTCAAACAGAAGTATTTGCAATGAGTTACCAAAACACCAACTTCTCCCCAGGAAATAGTCTTGCACTTCAGAACTTTCTCTTTTTTCTTTTCCTCTTCCTTTTCTTCCCATCTTTCTTCCTTTCTTTCCCTTCCTTCCATCTTTTTTCCTTCCTTCCTTCCATCTTTTTTCCTTCTTTCCTTCCTTTCTTCCTTCCTTCCTTCCTTCCTTCATCTCTCTTTTCTTTCTTTCTTTTCTTCCTTTACCCTACTGGGAGTTAAAACTCAAAGCCTGACACTTGCTAAGCAGGCCCTCTACCAGTAAGCCATGCCTCCATCCATGTCTCTCACTGGTTATTTTATTTTATTTGTTGGTTGTGGGGCTTGAACTTTGGGCCTGGGCGCTGTCCCTGTGCTCTTCAGCTCAAGGCCAGCGCTCTACCACTTGAGCCACAGTGCCACTTCCAGTTTTCTAGTGGTTTATTGGAGATAAGAGTCTCACAGACTTTCCTGCCCGGACTGCTATGAAGCATGATTCTCAGATCTCAGTCTCCTGAGTAGCTAGAATTACAGGTGTGAGCCGCCAGTGCCCAGCTTTCACTGGTTATTATTAAGACAAGATCTTGTTTTTTGCCTAAGTGCATGCTTGGTTATGACCCAACTATTTTGGGCTATCACTGCTGGGATATATCACCACATCCAGCTTTCTTCTGCTGAGATGGAATCTTGTAGAGTTTTCTGCCCAGGCTGGTCTGGAACCATCATCCTACAAACCTGAGCCTCTCAGAGAGGTTAGGGTGATAGTTGTACACTACTGTGCTCCGGGTTAAGAAGGGTCTTGCAAACTTTTCTGCCTGGACTCACCTCAAACTTCAACTCTTCCATTTTCAGCCTCCCAAGTACCTAGGATTACAGGCTTGAGCCATTGGCACCTGGCTGAACTTTTTCTTAAATACTACTTAAAAAATATTTTAGAAAGCCAAGTGGTGCACACCTATAAGCCCAGAACTCTGGAGGCTGAGGAAGTAAGATCTCAAGTTTAAGGGCAGCCTAGTGAGATCCTGTAAAAAAAAAATTCACACATTATTGGTAAATACCTTGAATGTGTTCACTATATTATTGGTGGAATAATATTATCCATTTTAAATCTAAGTTAAATGTGCTATTAGATAAAAGACAATAAAAATCAACCCTAGTAATATGGTTGAATACAGAGTAAGAGAACAATAAAGTCATAAAGTCATGTGTCAGACACTCATGGAAAATAAAACCTTATTTGCTACTCAGACCAAGAAGCACAAGTCCTGGACACAACTCTATAAATGCCACCAAGTGGCAGAGCCAAGATTCCCAGAGAACAGGAGACAAAGGTTTCAATAAAAATGGAGTGCCCACTGGTCAGCAGGCAGGAGGCAATTTCTAAGCTTTCGGGTCAGAACTGTCAACAATGGTAAAGCAGATAACTCCCACTCTTAACCCCTTCCTCCCACACTGCCACCCTAGAGCTTCTATTCCACCCTCGGGGAGATTGTTTTACATATGATAGTTTAAGTACTGAGAGGGACACTATGGCAGGGTGAGAAAGGTGGATGGCTTTGTACAGTGATCAGGAACAAAATCTCTGATAAAAGGCTGCTAAGCAGAAGATAAGACAAACATGCTGTCACTGGAGTGTGCCTGGCATATGTGAGGGGCTACTATCATGGTCACCAGAGACTAGATGGCCAATGTTCTGGGAGCCCAGGAACAGAGGAGTGTGACACTGTCAGAAAGGGAATAGAGTTGCACCTTGAGGGCATCACAGGCTACTTGAAGGACTTTGCTTTTCCCTTTGAGTGAATGGAGAGAGCCCTGGAGAGATTTCAGCAGAAAAGTGCTGTGATTTGTGTGTTCAAAGAACTATTCTGCTTCTGGTGAGAATAGCATGTAGAGCATAAAGAATAAAGCAGAGAGATGCTTTGGGGAGCCTGGCCAGTCACAAGGGAGGTGGTTGGAAATGGCAGTAGGTGACTCATATTCTTTTTAATTTTTTTATTATCTTTAAGTAGTTGTACAAAGAAGTTCCCATTCTACAAAACAGTAAGGTGACCCATATTCCTAAGGCAAAAGTGATGCCATTTCACTGATACATCATGGGATATGAGCAAAAGAGGCCTCAAGATTGATGCTGGAGGCTCTGGCTTGAGCAACTGAAAAAAACAGAGGTGCCATTTACTCTAAAAGAGATTTAGGAGGAGCAGGTTTAGGTGACCAAGATGGATGGGAAGTAATCAAGATCCACTTTTGGACATTTATACTGGAGGTGGTGTTCAGACATCCACCGGGCGCTGTCACACAGGCAGTCCTGGATAAAGAAGGAATTTGGATGTCATCCACATATAGCATTAAAACAGACACTGTCACCTAAGAAAATGACTATCAGTAGGAATAGTTCTTGTAGATTTGGAAATGGGAGAGTACAACTTGAGATGTCACCATGACTGGACTTGCTACTGATATTTACTAGGGCAGAAAGTGAAATCAAGATGTCCTACAATGCACATGACACATTTGCAGAGAACTTCCCATCACACAACCAATTTTCACAGGTTCTTCAGACATCCACATGGGTGGAACACCTTTTTATTGTCATCTGGGCCTAAGATGGAGATATCTTTCATTTTCACCAAAAGACAAGGCACCCATGGTCCAGCTCTATGCTACACTGAAACATTGTAAGAATCCAACCATGGTAAAACAAAATAAAACAAAACAAAAACAAAACAAAGGAAGGCTGTGCTCAGTCTGCTCAGAACTCCATGGAGTTTATCCACCAATTCACAACGATCTCATCACTCTCTCCTTGGCTCCTTCATGTTATCTGAATTATCAAGGCAACAAGCCTGAATCAGGCTGTACCATCAATGTCAGTAGTCCTCTGATGATCAAGCTTAACCATTGCAGAATATGATTTAACAGTTCCCTTTTATGCTAGTCAGGATACTATATTAATTTTTCAAAAGTTTCAAAGAGATTGGTGAATTTCCTAGGAATCTCATCTCAGGACAGCAAGGGAAGTGTCGGGTACAACACAGAGAATGAATGGAGTTGAAAGAGAGATGAGTGGACTACACTCAGCCCACCTAACCTTGGAGATGAGGGGAACAAGGAGGAAGAGAGAGCTTGAGAGAAGAACAGGTTTCCTAATAGAAGGTGTGACCAGGTGCTGGCAGGCCCAGCAAGAGCAGGATGGAGAATGATGCTTGAACTATTACTATTGAGATGACTTTGGCCCCATCTAGGGTAGTGCTGGAGCACTGCCTAGAGCAGCTATATAATCCTTAACTACTGTGCTAAGCATTTCATTTCTTCCTCAATCCTAATGCACCCCTACTACCACCGCATACTAGTTCTAAGGGAGCCCATGCTGGGGAACCCTCTTTCTTGCCCTGAGGCGCCACCAGTTTACCCACAGCCCTCTTTAATCCTGCCCACTCAGGCCACTGAGGATTGGCACACAGCCCACCCTCCAAGTCTGTACCTTGCTCAGTCGGGACTCAAAAGCCAACGAGGTTGAAGATTTTGAACTTTTCATGCCAGAAGAGGTTGTAGGGAGAGGCCGGGCACGGTCAGGGCCATGGCTACTGGCTTTGACAACTGGATTCCAGGGCTTGGCTGCGCTTCGCATGTTTGTCTTTCTGGAGAAGAACAAAAAGGAAAATGCATGTTTCCAAAACATGAACCTGTGAGTGAGGTCTTAAAGCTTTACCCTCCCCCATCCCACAAACTCCATCCTCCACACTGGCAGGTACTACCACAAAATAAGCCTAGGATCTGGCCAGAAATATCCCACTCCTGAGAGGATACCTTTGTGCTAGTCTAATTCTTTAACCCTAAAACAGATTGAACCAAATTATTGAAACAGATTTGAAATATTATTGACCTTGAGACATTACTTTTCAGCAAATTAAAAGCATATTCTCTGTCATGGATAGCTAACATGGTGTTACACCATAAGTGCTCACAGATACACAGACACATATACAATGGGACAGCTTGAGTCAAGGTATAAGATGTCCACAGCCTTGCAATTTAAGGGCTGGTGAAAGAACAATCCCATTTTTCTTGAACAGATACAAATGAATTACTTGAAAGTTAGATTTCACAGAAGCACAAAATTACTTTTTTTGGATAAAAATGGGTATCATTTTAAAAATTAATAAAGCATGTTTAATTGGTTAGACCTGACATAAGACGATAGAATCCTTGCCCTATCTGAAGTAATTTATGAAAGAAAAAATGATTCTCAGTAGCAGGATATAGCTCTGTATTCATTTTTCTCTGCCAGGCAGAGTAGCCTAGGCCTTGCCATTACCCCATCAGCATGGGCATTCCTAGGGGAGGGGCAACTATCCTCCCCTTCCCTCTCTGAGCTTGTTGTTTCTTAGTCAGCAACATCATCAGGACCAAATGAAAAGCCCTCATGCATCTCATCCAGCTCTGACCCTGCCTCTGCCTGTCCTCATGGGTTCTGATGGCCAAGCGCGTGACACAGGCACCTAAAACACAGAACATCAAAGCTGCACTTAAAAAAAAAAAAAAAAAAAACAGGCTGGGCTGAGGATGTGGCTCAAGTGGTATAGAGTTCAAACCTCAGTACTGCCAAAAAGAAAACAGAAAAGAAAACAAACATAAAAACCCACCCACAGCTGACAAGCAGTTCCAGAGGCCACTCCCCAAGGGCATAAACAGTCCCCAAAGAAGGGGTGGCTAAGTATCCTGAGCATTCTCTCTCTCACCCTACTCCAGTACAGCCACCCAGAAAAAAACACAGGCAGCTCACTCAGCCAGCCACCACCTATGCTCCTGCTTCTTCCCCAGCTGGAAGGAAAACATTTCAACTAGGAACATCTTCTCTCTCCAAAGCCAACCAGTTCCTCTTCCTGTTTATAGAAAAAAAAAAATGATTATCTGGGAGCCTACCTGGTACTTTGCTGAATGCGGCAGTGATGAAAATATTCTTTGTAATTTGAGGCTAGAAGGATTGCTCAGTGGTAGAATATTTGCCAGGCCCTGGATTCTATCCCCAGCACTATATTAACTAATAAAAACTAACCAATGGCTAACTAACTAAATAGATAAATAAATCGGAATTCATTATTGAAAAAAAAATCATTTGATTTGTTTTCCACATCTTTCCTAGGGAAACCATGTACACTTTCAGTTATTTGATGCATTCAGAACCTTCTTCGTCTCTTGCTTGGTTCCAAGTATCATGATTTTTATTTACAATTCTGTATTTAAAAAGCATCGTACTTCTCTTATACTTTACTGATGTTTAGCACTGATTATTTTTCTTTCTCAACCCACCATTTTCTATTGCTGGTTTCCACAGCAACAGTGAAAGAAAGTCTAGGTGCAGACTAATTTCATTAGGACTCCCTCCCAACATAAAATGAACTAACCGAGTTCCAGTGTTTCTGGAAGAGGACTGATGCATTTTATCCATGACTACAGAGCCAACCAGGAGCATATCAGTCTGCTTTATGGCGATAATTTCAGTAACATATCGTCCACTCAGCCAACATCCCCTTCTATGTTAGAAATGACAATTGCAGGTCTTGTTTTATGAAACATAAGGTGATCCTGAAATGTTTCTACAACAAAAAAAGATGGACGTGGGCTGGGAAGGTGGCTCAGTAGTAGAGTGCTTGCCTTGCATGCATGAGGCCCTTGGTTCGATTCCTCAGCACCACATACACAGAAAAAAAAGCTGGAAGTGGTGCTGTGGCTCAAGTGGTAGAGTGCTAGCCTTGAGCTAAAAAGCTGAGGGACGGCGCCCAGGCCCAGAGTTCAGGCCCCACGACCGGACCCAAAACAAAACAAAAAAATGATGGATGTTTTCCTTGCTTTCACTGACAGTTTAAGAGTCTAAAAAGAAAGGAAGAGAAGGAAAGGGGGAGGAAAGGAGGAAAGAAGGAAGGAAGGAAAGGAAAGGAAAGAAGGAAAGGAAGCAAAAAAAGGAAGGAAGGAAGGAAGGAAAAAAGGAAGGAAGGAAGGAAGATAGGCCTCATTAACTTTATGCCCCAACAGGCTTTGAGCCATCATCTTCTTGATCTCAGTCTCTTGAGTATCTGGGATTATAGAAGTGCACCACCATGCTCAGCCCTTGTAGGATCTTATTAAGCATTCCCTGTCCTCCCTGACCCACAGTGTTCTCTGAACTCTCTTCCTCATGCCCAGCTTGGGACTCTTCTGGAACAGATCTATAGACAGGTGTGTCTTCTGAGCTGTATGCTTATAATACATAGCCCATGTTGGCCCTGTCGTCTGTAGGCTTACAGGAACACCTCCTTAGAAGGGGAGCAGGTACATCCCTAGAACTGTTCCTCGCTGTCTGTAGGCTTCCACATAGTCCACCTTCCCTCAGCACCCAGACCCTGTAAGCCCAGCTCTCTGATACAGGTGAAATAGGGAGATCAGGTCTGGCCAGAGACATCTCAGCCACATGGTGGATACCAGGGTCTGGCATCTTTCTTCATAGTAGGGGAATGTGAAGCCCTGACCCACAGGTGATGGCTTGCCTGAATCCCTGAGGCAGAAGTGGGCACTTGGCTGATAGGTTACTAAAGCTGTACTCCAGAGCCTGGGACTGGTAGTTTCCTATGACCCTGCCCCCAGACCTGACCCTATTGAGTCCAGCACCAGCTCAGGTACCATTATGCCATGCCAAGTGTTCCTGTCTCCTGGCTCCTGGCTCTTCTCCAGTCACCATGGCATCCCAGTTCAGCTTTCCACTGGAGCTGAATTGGTTTGTTGGTATTGTTTTTGTTCTTTCTTTCCTCTCTGGCCTTCATGACTCAGTTTCCTAACAGTGTTAAGTGTATTTGCTGGCTGCTGGTCTTTGAGACAGGAGTCCACCATGCAGTTGCCGGCCTTTTAATAAAGACGCCAAGATTCAATCCTTCAAAATGTGGCTTCTTGGTTTTCTTTTCCTTACAACACAGGGTGCCAGTTATTCTATAAACACTGCAGTTACAAGGTGCTGTAGATGTTAAATACTCATCCTAACCCTGGGAGGTTAAGTATCTCCTGCTATGGTCTAAATATTTGTGACCCACCCCCACCATTCACAGATGGAACTAAATCCCCAGTATGATATTGTTAGAGGTGATCAAGCTATGGGAACAGAACCCTCATGAATGGCATCAGTGCCTTTAGAAGAGGTCTGAGGGAACTTGTGTGCCACTCTATCAAGGGAGAAGTCACTATCTGTGACCAGACAGTGGGCCCTAACCAGAGAGGGAATGTGTTGGTGCTTTGATCTTAGATTTCCCAACCTTTAGGACTGTGGGCAATACATTTGCATTGTTTACAGTATTTCTATTATAGCAGCCCCAATAACCTAAAACATTCCCACTGATCAGTTGGGGAACTTTATGTGGCTCAGGAAGGTTAAGCAACTTGTCCAAATTGTAGAGTCTATCTGTAGCCAAGATTCAAAGCTGGTTGAAACTGGCTCCAAACCCTATGCACTTGAACACTAGCGATAGATAAGCCTCTCTGAATAATCTATGTCTCATGGGAAACATGAGGGTTTGTAATGCACCTGGTCTAGCTCCATGCCCACTCTCAACATGTGGGCTCAGAAATGCTAGGACCTTCCATATCGTCACCAAGAAGATGGAGTGATGAACAGTGACTTCACAAACCATGAAGACCGAAGATCACATACATTACAGTGCTAAGCACACAGAAAGCTCTCAATCAATAAAGAGCTGCCCTCCATGCAAAGACAGTAAACTGCCGGGTGCTAGTGGCTCATGCCTATAACCTAGCTACTAAGGAGGCTGAGATCTGAGGTTCACAGTAGGAAGCAAGTCTGGGCAGAAATGTTTTAAGAATCGACTCTTATCTCCAATTAATCAGCAAAATGCTGGAAGTGGGGGCATGGCTCAAGTAGTAGAGCACCAGGTTTAAGTGGAAAAAGCCAAGCAAAAGTATATGATCTTCAGTTCAAGTCCCAATATTGGCACCAAAAACAAAAGAAAACAAAATTACATCTGTTAATTGTGTCAAACAGAGGACTGCTCTGCTTTATTAACACACATCAATTGAGCAATTAGATACAAAGGGCAGGAGGCAAGCAAACCCACCACATCTGAGAAAAGTGTTCTTCTGTGCACAAAGCAGCTTGTTTTCATTTAGAATTTTCAAAGTGGAAAAGTAGAGCCAGAAAGAAACAGGGAGGGCAGATGCTTTGCAGTCATTATCGTTGGTCTTAGCAAATCTGAGCTGCAGAAGTATAAACACAGGTGGGAATGTTTGCTGAGTAATGAATTAGTAATGTAAAATAGGGGAACTCTAACTACATCATAAAGATCAAATTGATTAAGAAACTATAGATAAAATTAAGAACTCAAGCCAGGTGCTGGTGGCTCACGCTTGTAATCCTAGCTATTCAGGAGGCTGAAATTTGAAGACTGTGGTACAAAGCCACCCTGGGCAGGAAAGTTCATGAGATTCTTATCTCCAATTAACTACCAGAAAACCAGAAGTGGAGCTGTGGCTCAAAGTGGTAGAGCACTAGCCTTGAACAAAAAAGCTTGGAGGGGGCTGAGAATAGGGCCTAGTGGTAGAGTGCTAGCATGCATGAAGCCCTGGGTTCGATTCCTCAGTACCACATAAACAGAAATAG